AGCAAATACAGAGGGTGCCAAAAAAAGTATACACATTTTAAGAAAGGAAAACTGTATTAAATTTTTAATACTCAATGTATACCGATAACAAAAGATGAATACAAGTCACGCTTGACTTCTGCAATTACAAGAGGTGCTCAAAGTTGTTACCATCAGCGTCCAGGCACTTCTGATTACGGCCAACTACTGCTTGAACCATGTTGACCAAAGTGTCCACTTGTATACATTTTTTTTTACAACCCCAGGAGTTAAGGTCAGTAATGTTCAGTTTCCTTTTTAAAAATTTTTTTGTCTACAAATTTGCTAGCGAAATCATTAAGTTGATGCTGTTTTCTTTTTCATTATGTAGCTATGGATCTTTTGTTATTTTTCAGTAAATATATTTTAAAGTTTAGTCTATCTTTGAACCAAGCTGAAACTGTTTTCTAAGTGATTGTGACTATGTAGTAAATTTTGAACACCTGAATTGTTACTTTGTGGTCTTCAATAAGTCTTTAATTAGCTTTAATGTTGTACCGAGGATGGAAGGAAGAGATATTCAAAGAGGATTACATGACCCCATCTCAGCTCTTTGGAAACTTGTGGCCTAAAATGTCATCGCAACTATCTTTTCTCCATTTATCAAAGAGAATATCATATAGAACAGAATAAAAAGCCTTGCCAAAAGCAACATGGGAAATCTTTCTTTTGTACCATTACTTTTCAGTTATGATACTATTTCATAGAAAGAGATTAAGTTATTTGCCAAGGTTTGTTGAAATTACTTATGCCCCTCTGTGGGTACTGTCACTAAATAGGACTCCCTAATGTGAATGGCCCTTTGCCTGGAGACCCACTCACTTAGCCTTTCTTGAGCATGATTGCTATTTAAAAGCTCTGATTACTGCCTGATATGCTTTTCTTTTTTTTCTCCCTAGGTCAGTAAAATTGTGTCAAATGTTCCCCAGTTGGAGTTTCTAAACCTGAGTTCCAACCCTCTGAATTTGTCGGTTTTAGAAAGAACATATGCTGGGTCCTTCTCTGGGGTTCGCAAACTTGTCCTCAACAACAGCAAAGCTTCTTGGGAGACAGTCCACATGATACTGCAGGAGTTACCAGAGTAAGCCCAGAGAGCATGATGGAGAGGGGGCTGTGTTGCCATCTGTGTTAGTACATAGAATTACTGCTGATCTCCCATCTCAGAAATACTAGAACTGCAGATTGAATGGAGACTGAGGTTAGAAAAATGAAGTAATTACAATAAGGGTGTGAGGGTAATCTAGTAGCATTTTTATTGGAATACTTGTTCAGTGTTGAGTAGCACCAAGACACAGGATACGTCATCCTTTGGCCAGAAAATATCCCTGAGAAGCACTTATCATTTCTAGATCAACCCTACCTTTTTCCATTTTAATCTTCTGATTACCTGATTTCAGAATTTTGCCTCAGTGCTTTTATTTGAGGGGGAGGGAGGGAAGGTTGGGGGGAAATCACAGTATCTCTAAAATATGTTAACACTCAGATGATTAAGCACATAGCTGGCCTGATTAAAAAATGGACCTGGTATTCTTTTCAATAATTTAATCAAGAAATTATACTTTTGTCAGTTTAGAAATGCTTTGTTATTTTTGTTTGTATCTATCTTTGAATATGCATCTAAGTGTTCAAAGGAAGTAGTTGAAAGAAATATATGAATCTGTAGTTTCTTTGACTGTATAAATATGGAAATTATCAAAGCCTTTAAGAACCTGGTTTCACCCCACTTATTACATGTTAGTTTCTCACTATCACTCTAATGAAATTGGTTTCCTCACAGCATGCAACATCTGACATGGCATAGAATGAGCTTTTAAGTATCAGTTCCACTTACTGACCATATGACCTTTGATAAATTAATTAATCTCTTTGAGCTGCTTCCTTGTCTATAAAATGGGCATAATTATATCTACCTTGCAGAAGCAGAAGTCCAGCCTATAAAGCACATCGCACAGGGGCTGACAAAGGGTAGGAATTCAATAAATGATAGTTGTTATTTCTATTTCTAAACATTTGTTCATGTTGTTTCTGGAATTTTCTTTTATTTCCTCTCAATTTATGCAAGTCTGCCACTCTTTCAAGGCCATGCATCCTTTCCTGAATATTCTAACTACAATTTCAATTCCATTCCTATATGAACTATTATAGTTAACAGTACTGTTTCATTAAGCAGAAAATTAATTTAGCACTGGGTTATATCATTCTCTGCTGTTTTATGTATATTAGGCTTTTTCTTCCCAGCTATATTTTAAGCTTCAGGAAGACATCTTTATATTTTCTCTACAATGCCTAGCAGAGTCTTACACATAGTAGGCACTTACTTACTGCTTGAATGAATGAAAATAGGTGCAAAGTAGAAACTTAACTGCTTTAAACAATAACTATTTCCTTTTTTGTCTCTGCAGTTTGGAGGAGCTCTTCCTGTGCCTTAATGACTATGAAACAGTGTCTTGTCCTTCTATTTGCTGTCCTTCTCTTAAGCTACTACATATAACAGATAATAACCTCCAAGACTGGACTGAAATACGAAAGTTAGGAGTTATGTTTCCTTCGCTGGATACCCTTGTCCTGGCCAACAATCATTTGAATGCTATTGAGGAGCCTAATGATTCATTGGCCAGGTTGTTTCCTAATCTGCGATCCATCAGCCTCCACAAGTCAGGTGAGGTACAGGTTTGTTCTCATCTACATGCAAATTGATCTGAGCTTTTGCGTGAAATACAGTGAAAGTGTATTTCTTTTAGTCATAGCTGTGCCCTCTTATAGGATGTATTTTCAAGAGTGACATGCAGATGCCTGCTGGTTAGCTAAATTTAAGGCATTCACTTTCATAAATCAAGTGGCACAGCATTATATTAGTTGTTTATATTTTATATATTAAAGGGGTTATGCTATGAAAGGAGTTAAATTAATGAATTGTATAGTAAAAGGCAGAATAAAAAGAATATAAGGAATTACACACGAGACCATTTTGCCTGTACTTAGGTTGTTAGGGGATCTCAAAAGGCTCACTTTTCTTTTCTGTATTTATATATAACTGATTGCCCGTTTGTTGACATCTAATTCTGTTTATCACAGGAGTGAATATTTTTAGCCTATTTTTAAAAATTAATAAACTTTATTTTCAGAGCAGTTTTAGATTTATAGCAAAATTGAGCAGAAAGTACAGAAAGTTCCCATACCCTCCCTGCCCCCACACGCACAATCTCCCCCACCATCAACATCCCGGCACCAAAATGATCCATTTGTTACAAGTGAAGCTGCATTGACGCCTCATCATCACCTGAAGTCTGGAGCTTACATTAGGGTTCACCCTTGGGTGTCCATTTTATGGGTATGGAAGATTTATAATGACAGGTGGATTCCACTGTAGCATCATACGTAATAATTTCACTGCTCTAGCGATCCTCTGTGCTCTGCCTCTTCATCCCTCACTCCCTCCCCAATCCCTGGCAACCACTGATCTTTTTACTGTGTCCATAGTTTTGCCTTTTCCAGAATGCCATAGAGTTGTAATCATATAGTATATAGCTTTTTCAGACTTCCTTCCACCTAATAATATGCATTTAAGTTTCCTTCATGTCTTTTCATGGTTTGATAGCTTATTTCTTTTTAGCACTGAATAATATTCCATTGTCTGGGTGTACCACAGTTTATGCACTCACATGCTAAAGTACACCTTGGTTGCTTCCAAGTTTTGGCAATTATTAATAAATCTGCTGTAAACCTCTGTGTGCAGGTTTTTGTGTAGACATAAATTTTCAGTTCATTTTGGTGAAGACCAAGGAGTGTAATTTCTGGATCATATGGTAAGACTATGTTTAGTTTGGTAAGAAACTGCCAAACTGTCTTCCAAAGTGGCTGTACCATTTCGAATTCCCACCGGAAATCAATGAGAGTTCCTGTTGCTTCATGTCCTTGTCAGCATTTAGTGTTGTCAGTGTTTTGTATTTTGGCCATGCTAGTTGGTGTATAGTGGTATCTCATTGTTGTTTTAATTTGTGATTCCCTAATGACATTGTGATGTTGAATATCTTTTCATGTGCTTACTTGCCATCTGTGTATCTTCTTTGGTGAGGCGCCTGTTCAGGTCTGTTACCCATGTTTTAATCAGGTTGTTCATTTTCTTATTGTGGAGTTGTAAGAATTCTTTATTTATTTTGGGTGACAGTCCTTTATCAGATGTGTCTTTAACACATACACTCTCCTAGTTTGTGGCTTTTCTTCTCATTCTCTTGACATTGTCTTTCAGCCTATTTCTTAAAACAACCATATAACTAAAACTAACTAACCTACAACTGAAAAAACAAATGGTTTAGTTTGCCACAGAGGTTATAAGGAGGGAAATTAAGTTTTAACATTTTCACTGCAACATTCGTCTTTAGTCAAATGATATTTCCATGCCTCTGACTGTGGCGTTCGACTTTACCCCACGAGCTCATTGTTCCAGAAAGGAAGTTTAAGAAAGCAGATGTACATTTTTCTCTATTTTTGTGTTTTTCAAGAATGAATAACAATAGGAAATTTTTATACTTTATAAAGAAATCATTTATTTTAATAAAATGTAGCACCTTAACTGTATTTACTTAAAATATAAATGCTATAATTATTTTCTGTGGATTTTTGACACATTTTGGAGAACAAACTTGTAATCAATTAACGCAGTGAAAAGGTTAAAAACCAGAATTTTGCATAAGGAAGCTGTATATTTCACAGCTCAGCGCCCCTTGTGCTAACTCTGTTCTTCATCCCAGATGGAAATGCCCTTCTGAAAGGAAGAGGACAATTATAACTTGGGGTAGTTAATGCACCAGAGTCCTCATAAATTGTTTCTCTCATAAATTGCTGACAGTTGATTGAAATAAGAAGGGACTATGTTGTTCTCTGAAATGGATTTAACAAGTTCTAAAGTTGACCAGCTTCATTATTATAGGAATATATTTCCTACGAGTGTCAGGTTATTGACTTGGATGACACATTTGCTCACAACCATAGGAAGAGTTTCGTTTTAGAACTAAATGAGCTTAATTTGTTGCATGTTCTTCTTACCCAAAGGTTCAGGTTTTTTGTTTTTGTGTGTTTGTTTTAAATTTTGAATCTGTTTTCCCTGTCCCCAAAATGTGGACAGTATGAAAGAGAGATAATATTTAGTTTCTGGTTCTATTGACCTTGCCCCTTTTAGAATTTGTTAGGTAAAAATTTGAGTCTGACAGTATCAACTCTGGTCAACAGTTACGTTCTCTGAGTCTGTATCTGATGAAAGAGTTGATCACATCACTTTTCATGACATACATCCTGCTCATTGAAACTACCAGGGACTGCCTTTATATGACATTTGGGTGGAGAATTAATAGATGAGTGGATGTTGAAGAATAAGGCTCTCTCATCTTGACGACTGGGATCACAGGTATAAGAGAGGCCATCGGGACGTTTTTATGGTATTTAACTGTATTCTATTCTTTTCTTGGATTAAAAAAAAGAAAATCAGGATCTCTAACTAGTTTACTATCCTTTTAACATTTGAGATATTATTAATTGAAGTAATTTTTTTGCTATGTTTATCTTCTTATTTGTATGCTTTTCTGGACTTACCTAAGCAATATATTTGTCAAATTAGGTTTGCAGTCCTGGGAAGACATTGACAAACTAAATTCATTTCCCAAACTTGAAGAAGTGAGATTATTAGGAATTCCTCTTCTGCAGCCATATACCACCGAGGAGCGAAGGAAATTGGTAGTAGCCAGGTCTGTTGTCCTGATTATTCTGCTTTTTTTTTTCTTCTCTCGGGGACCATGTTGTTTCATTAAAGGAATAATACACTATTTGGGAGGGAGTACACTGCAAATTGATCCATCTTCTGAACAGACTGTGCTTGAAGGAGCTGCTTTTGTGGCTCTGAATCCTGAAAGGAAAAGAAAGCAATATAATGAGAAAAATGTAAAATATTTTTGGCTTGCCAAGACCACTGACAAATTCCCTCACAAATCTAGTCTGTTTTTATGCTTTTTGATATTTATAATATCTGAACTTCTGTTTTGGGTCATGAAGAAAAAGTAGGTACAATAAGGAATTGATTCTATTTTCGTTGTCCTTATTTTCTCTGTTAACATCGTGGTCATTTAAAGTGTAATACTTGAAAATCAGGTTTTTTCATTAATGTAAAACTTAAGAGAGCAGCATCTGTCTTTTCTTCTTATTACGTAGACTGACTTAAATGGGACTACTATATTGTTATCTTCTTCCTGACTTCCCTGCCTTTCGTGTCTCAGACTCCCTCAAACTACTGAAATGACCCATGAATATTTATATTTGTATGCACCTTTATCAGCAATAAAACTCAGCTAAGGTGTAAAGGGCTATGGAACTTTAACTTGTTCTTTGTGTATTATACATAGTAGTTTTGAAAGGGGAACAGTAGCCGATAAGTTTCCCTAAAGAAGAGTGGTTAGGAAGACAGGATATTAATCTTTCTCTGACCAACCAACACCAAGCAGATCTTTAAAGCTTTCCAACATTGCCATTAATATCTCACTGAAGAAATAAGTTTCGGCATATTCTTCTTCTTAGAGGAGTAAGTCTTGTAATGGGCCTTGTATTTTCTTTTCTTTACTAATTCTTTTGTAAATATAAAAAATTAATTCTTGAAGTTATAACAGAATTGTACTGACTACTCTATAGATTTATGCTGTCCAATATGGTACCATTAGCAATGTGTGACTTTTGAGCGCTTAAAATATGGCTCGTCTGAATTGAAGTACAAAATATACATTGAATTTTGAACACTTTATATGGCAAAGAGAATGTAAAGTTTCGCAGTTATTTTTTAGTATTGATAACAGGTTGAAATGATTATACCCTGCATTAGTTGGGTTAAATAACATATACTGTTAAAATTAATTACATCTGTTGTATTTTTACATTTTAAAATATGGCTACTAGAGAATTTAAAATTACATATGTGGCTTGTATTATATTTAAGTTGGAAATGCATTGCTGCCTGCAATCTTGTTTTGAAAAGTGAGTTGTGATTATAAAAGGTCAGCATCACATCCAAAAGTCAAACTAGGTATTTTTGGTCCTTTTATTTTTTTTATACCACTTTACTTTATGTCAGTAGTTGTACACAAGCAGGGCTACATGAAATGTGTCCTTTCAAGAGAATGAGACTGGGCCTGAAACCAGTAATTTTTTGTCTAAAGCCAAATATTTTTAATATCTTAAAACATCTTTATTTTGGTATTTGCTTACAGATTGCCATCAGTTTCCAAACTCAATGGCAGTGTTGTTACTGACGGTGAGCGAGAAGATTCTGAGAGATTTTTTATCCGTTACTATGTAGACATTCCGCAGGAAGAAGTGCCATTCAGGTAAAAATCCTTCGCTAGCTTAGCAACACTTCAGCAACTGCTGAAGCAATGTAAGCACTGCTGTTGTACAACAAAATATAATGATTTGTTTTTGGATCCTATTAGAGGATATTGGTGATGGGTTAAAAAATAAATACAAAAATAAACCTATCTTATCTAATTTTCCACAATGTATTTCTTCTAGCTTTGCACTTGTATTAAGAATGGTTGGGTAAGTATTTGACTCCTTCTAGTAGTTCCCACTCCATACTCCATATCATTTTTCCTTTTTAATTTTCTTCTCCAGGGGCATAGTTTCCCGAATCCCCAAATCGGTCTCTTCTTTCACATTGCATCTGCTTTTAGGGTATACTAAGTTTTGCAGTTTGGAAGATTTGTCAAATGTGCACTAGATTTAGAGAATATGAGAACAGGACAGGAATATATAGACTCCAGGAAGTAGTAAAGGAGTTTAGGGTGGTTGAGTATAAAGAGAAATGGTGAAGGCTGAATTAGTAATTACCTTTAAGTATATGAAGAGTACACACACACACACACACACACACACACACACACAGAGTTTGGTGAGGAACTACCTTTAATTCTCTGTAAATATAAAAGGAAATGTAACAGGTATGATATAGATAAATACAAAAGAAACAAAAGTTCTGCCAAAACAAGTTTCTATGTGTTGGTAACTACAATCAGTTACCCCCCAAATTATATGCGTTCCTTAATGACTTTAAGAATGATGCGAAATCCCATTTAATAGGAGAAGTTTCAGACAAATAGGATGCAAGTTAGCATTAAACGTGAATCAAATGAGTTTGTCCTGGTTCCAAACTTCTGTGATTCTAACGCATTCTTACTCAACATACCCATTTTCCCACAAAGTTCTCTGTTAAATTTAGACTTTGAGGGTCAACATTCTGTAAAGCTCAACCAGTGCTATATAAAAAGATTTTGTGGTATTATTAGCATTTTAAAGCTTAAGTATTTTTAAAATATTAGACAAATTAAGGATTTAGAAGGTAACCTTTTAAAATTAGCCAGGAACAGACAGGTAGAGAGAAATAGATATTGCTATGTCTTTTAACACAACCTAAAAATAATAGGTTAAACTGCATGAAATTGTTTTTAGGTAAAAAATGGTCTAACATCTATAGCTTCATTTGATGGAAGAAGTAAATATTTTGGCATTGAGCCAGTCTTCCATTACAGTTTACTTAACTCCCAGTCTGCTGTAAGAAGTAGTACATAGGAGTATGTGGTCAGTGAACTGTTTTCTGTCTCTGATGGCATAAGTATCCTAAAGGGCATTTATGCCTCTGTACTAGTCGCTGTCCTTGAATGCAGGTCAGAGAAGTCATCTTTAATCAGGGGAGGAATTTATTGGGAGGATACTGAGGAATTAAAAGGATTGTTAGGCAGGCTGAAGGCCTAGGCTTATACAGGAACTGAGGGAGGTAAGGATAGCCAAGGTTTCAACTTATAATTTGCTGTGTATATCTCTGCTGGCACTGTCAGGTCTAGACACTACAGTACTGGACTTTACCACTGGACACTTGCAGCTGTGTCATGGACTTTTGAGTTTCCCATAAATGTTGAAAATAATCTCTCACTGTCCTTTGCTTCATTCCCTAAGGGTCAAATATACGCATCTGACCAATGGTTTGACTATATTTAGGGCATGTGTTCACACTCTGTCTCCCAAGAGATAGGGAAAGGGATTATCTGCTCCACTTTGGCTTCTGCAGTGTGAGGTAGAATCTTGCTTCTCTTGATCTTGGGACTTGCCCTCAAATAGGAACAATTCAGCAGAAAGAACATCTGCCACTTTGACAACCCAATCTATGTATCTATCTATATTTATCTATCTGTCTGTCTGTCTGTCTTTCTTTCTTTCTTTCTTTTCCCTATAGTTACATAAAGAAACTCTTCTTACCTGCCCTAATATATTCCCTGTACAAATGAAAACACATTTTTCTCTCCATGAAATTAGATAACCTATTTATTCTAATCCTAAACACTCTATGATTGAATAGCTACTACAAAAAATTCATGCAGTCAAGCTATTTTATTTTA